CCTGACGTGAGTTTAGTGCGAGGTCCAGTAAAAACAGCAAATCAATCAGCAAATCCATCAGTGTGTGAATCACTTCTTATCTTTATACACAGAAGGACGAAGCTAAAGTTGGCTTCAACGTCGCCAGCTTCTTGTTCGAATTTTCCCGTTGCACCTTAAATGGTGCAGCAGTCGATTTAAGGTGGAATGGGAAAATTCAACAAGAAGCTGGCTGGTGCACCATTTAAGGTGGAACGGGACAAAAATAAATACTACATAAAGTTAAGATGCCCTGAATAGATTATTATATTAAATGAGCTTAATATAAAACCAGAGCAAAAACAATCACATCAACAGGTTCTCTGTGCTTCACCAACCACACGGCCATATCTACATAAACATCACACAGACATGAGTGTGGATCTCTGCGTTCCCTCCGTTATATAATCCTATCCCACTTTCTGAGTGTAATATTCTTGAAATAGTGTAATTTTGGACAGTATCTTTCTTAAACTGCCGCTCTGTAATGGTACTGAATGCAGTCCAGCAGCGATGTTGACCGCCCTAAAATGGCGGCGCCGTTGACGTGCCTGTCTGGACCCAACACTGCATCTAGGTATGTATATGTATGAGAACAGTGCACAGAAAAGAGAAAAACCCCGTCCTCAGGTTACAATGATGGTTCTTCAAAAGTTCTTCAGTAAAGAAAATATAGCACTAAAATTGGTTCTTCTATTATTATAAGCTTGACCTTTTAGTAGTATATAGAGCCCTTTTAGAAAAAGTTCCATATAGAACCATCTACAGCACATTCTCCATCAGTCTGATAAACACTCATCATGCAAACAACCCTTCAGTCATGCAAAAGGTTCTTTGAGTGTTAATGGATCTACAAAGAACCATTTTCTATGCTAAAGAATTCTTTGAAGAACCATCATTTTTAAGAGTGTAGGCTAGCTCTCACTGCTCTCCTTAAAAGGGTGCCCAGAAACAAAAGGCTGAGGTACAGAACAGAACAACTAAAATAAACTCAGGCGTGATCTGATGTCACAATATAGTCTTATACACCGATCGGGCATCACATTCTGACCACCTCCTTGTTTCTACATTCATTGTCCATTTTATCAGCTCCACTTACTATATAGGTGCACTTTGTAGTTCTACAGTTACAGACTGTAGTCCATCTGTTTCTCTGATACTTTGTTAGCCCCCTTTTACCCTGTTCTTCAGTGGTCAGGACCCCCATGGACCCTCACAGAGCAGGTACTATTTAGGTGGTGGATCATTCTCAGCACTGCAGTAACACTGACGTGGTGGTGGTGTGTTAGTGTGTGTTGTGCTGGTCTGAGTGGATCAGACACAGCAGTGCTGCTGGAGTTTTTAAACACTGTGTCCACTCACTGTCCACTCTATTAGACACTCCTACCTTGTCAGTCCACCTTGTAAATGTAAAGTCAGAGACGATAGCTCATCTGCTGCTGCACAGTCTGTGTTGGTCATCCTATAGTCCTTCATCAGTGGTCACAGGACGCTGCCCACAGGACACTGTTGGCTGGATATTTTTGGTTGGTGGACTATTCTCAGTCCAGCAGTGACACTGAGGTGTTTAAAAACTCCAGCAGCACTGCTGTGTCTGATCCACTCAGACCAGCACAACACACACTAACACACCACCACGTCAGTGTTACTGCAGTGCTGAGAATGATCCACCACCCAAATAGTACCTGCTCTGTGAGGGTCCATGGGGGTCATTAAATATATTGAGAAAAAAAGAAGTATTTATTTTTGTTATTTACTTCCAATGTGTACATCTTTTCACATTCACAGCCCTGATGTCATTTTACTGTGTACTTATACATATTGGCAAAAAGTATGTATTTGTAGGCATAAACAATGTTTAAAAAACCTAACAAAGCCGTTGTTGGCATTAACTGCTTCAAGATGTCTATGTTGAAAAGTAGGTTTTTTGAAGCACGGCTCAGTTTTGGCTCGTACCTCTCAGCAAAACTTCTTCAGCTCAACAAGATAACGAGAGTCCCTCTGAAGGACTTACAGTTTCAAAATCCTTTATTTATTTTCACTGAGACTCAGGTCAGATGATTGGCTAGGCCATGCAAGCACAGTTTTTTTTAGAAACTTGCATTATTTTGACTATGTTTGGGGTTGTTGTCTTGGTAAAACATACATCTTTTCCCAGATTCGGTTTCTTGTCCAATGATTTTAAATTCTTCTCTAATATGTCCTGGTACATCACTCCATTCATGTTTCCTCTGATGACCTGTAATTACTGTAAAGAAGCAGCCCCATATATGATGCTACCACCACCGTGCTTCACTGTGGGTGTGGTGTTCTTATAGTCTTGCAAGCAACCCTTCTTTCTCTAAACATGACAAGTTGAATTACTGACAAAGAGTTTTATTTTTGATTTCATCTGACCAGAGTACTGTTAAGACCCCCAGTCGAAATATACCTTTTGTAGTTTTTTTTAAGATTTTAGGTTTAGTTATATCAGATTTGTAATCATTTTTTGTTTTGTTTGATATTTTGGCGAATGCCCATCCTTGAAACCATCAATCCAACATGATAATGAGCTTTTGAAGTAAATAAACCTGCTATTTTCTGACTTCCATGGTGTCCGGTGTCTGGTCTGGCAGCAGGTCTGGGGAGAGAGCCCACTCTCATTTTCTGCTATGTCCTGACCCTAGACCAGCTCATAACAGTACATTGTTGTGGTTCCGTGAACTTTTCAGTGATAGTTAATATCTTTGCTATGGCTCTGTATCCTTTCAATTTGAGTGTGGTTTAATAAAGTTGTCCCCTTTAGGAAGTTCCTTCACCTTCATCATGATTGCTACTCGTCTGACACCAGGTTCAATTTGCACAAAAACATTTTTTGCAGCCTTATAAGATGCACACACACATATTATTTTGCCTCTGTACACCACGACTATGGATTTTAAATGGAGCAGTCAAGATGTGACTGAAGTGTAGACTTTCAGCTTTAATTCAAGGGGTTTAACAAGAATATTGCATTAACCTTTTAGAAATTACAGCCATGTTTTACATAATCCCTCCATTTTTACATGCTCAAAAGATAAGCTGATAAATGAATCTGATGAAACAACAATGTGATACATTCTTTAAAAGAAGGAATGCACTGGTGAGCTCAGCAACACCAAAAGACCTGGAAAATCAATGAATCTGATGACTGCAGATTCTGTGGTGAAGAAAAACCCCTTCATAACACCAAGTCAAGACAAGAACATTCTAGACGAGGCTGGCGTATCACTGTCAAAGTCTACAATCAAGAGATGCCTCCTTCATGAACGGAAATACAGAGGGTTTACCTCAAGATGCAAACCACCAGTAACACTCAAGAACAGAAAGGCAAGGTAATGTGACACCTGACACCTATAACTTTACTGTGTAAATCATTCTTGCCTTACAGTATGTTTCAGAAATACTTGTAAAATGTAATGTGGCCCTGCCAGGAACTAGCATTTGTCACAAGACCAGGGGTCATTTGATGATAACATTGTGGTCATTTACAAAAATGTCATAAAAACACATCCTGCCATTTTACATGAATGACCAGTTCCTGGGAAAGATGGTGCTCATAGGAAAACTGCAGGGCAAGCAAATACGTTCACAAACAAAAGGTGGTTCTTGGAGTTTGCTTCTCAGTACAGAAGCCAATTTCTAATTTTTGACCGTACTTTTACTGGTTTGCGTTATATTAACTCCCAATAGGCCTGGTCGATAATCTGTCACTGGTTAGTACTAAAATCACCACTTTAAGCTTTCTTATTTCAGCACTGTTCAGCATTATTTTGTTTCAAATGACACCGAAAGCCTTAAAGTCTCGAAGTTACATGAAGAGTTTCATTACAAAATACAATAAATGCAAAATCCTACTAACTGCTCCCCTAAACCTAACAGCTGGTTGTGCCAACCTTGGTAGTAACAACTGCAATCAAATATACGCGATAACTTGCGATGAGTCTTTTATATCGCTGTAGAGGAATTTTGGCCAAGTCTTCTTTGCAGAAGTGTTTTAATTCGGCTACATTGGAGAGTTTCCACCCGTTTAAGGTCTTGCCACAGCATCCCATTAGGATTCAAGTCAGGACTTTGACTCGGCTGTTCCAAAACCTTAATTATGTTTTCTTTTAAGCCATTTAGAGATGGACTTCATTGTGTGCTTTGGTTCACTGACCTGCTGCATAACCCAACTGCACTTGAGAATTAATGGTTCCATCAATTATGACCAGTCATCCAGGTCCTGCAGAGGCAAAGCAACTCCAGACCATCACACTACCACCACCATGTTTGACTGCTGGTGTGATGTTTTTAGAGTGGAATGTGGTGTTGGCTTTATGCCAGTTACATCTTTGACTCATCTGTCCACAGAATATTATCCTAAAAGTCTTGGGGGTCATCTAGATGTTTTTTGGCAAACGCAAGATGAGCCTTTGCGTTCTTTGCGCCTTGCAGCTCTCCCATGGAGGTCAGTTTTGCCCAGTGTCTTTCTTATTGTGGAATCTTGTACATCAACCTTAACTGAGGAAAGTGAGGCCTGCAGTTCTTTAGATGTTCTTTAGATGTTTATCTGGGTTCATTGTGAGTCATCAATGCGCTCTTGGTGAAATTTTGGTACGCTGGCCACTCCTGGGAAGGGTCACCACTGTTCGAAGTTTTCTCCATTTGTAGATAACGGCTCTCACTGTGGTCTTGAGTTCCAGAGCCTCAGCAATGGTTTTGTAACCCTTTTCCACACTGGTAGATTTCAATGACTTTGTTTTGTATCTGTATTTGACTCTCTTTAGAACGTGGCATCATGTGCTGCTTTTGAGACCTTACAGCTGTTTCACATTGCCAGACAGGTTCTATTTAAGTTCAATTTACTTCAGCAAGTTCAGAGTTGGTGACACAGCACTCTCACGTCATGTGTTGCATAATTTCCTAGTAGGTGTGGCACAGCTTGGCTACAATGCAAAACTGCATCAAATAGATGCAATACCATTCACTGAGAGGGTCTCTTTCTCAGAACTCTTATTCGGGGGATGCTGTTAAGGTAAGCTATGCATCTGAACACAGGTTTTCATTTTAACACAGGCTCTTTTGGTTTTGATTGCATTGTGAGAGATTTACACTGCAAAATGTCAATTTTATAATAAAAGATTTCCTTGCCAGGAAAATTTTGCAGATTTTTGCAGTAAAGAAAACCTGGCAACTCCACTCTAAGGTCATTTGAATGAAATATGGATAGTATTTTAGTGTAAAGACCTTAACAGCACAATACTATGAATAACTGATGCTGTAAAAACACTACAGAATATTACTGGGGGCAAAGTTGTAACTGATATTATAAATCATTTAAAGCATAAAGACACAGTACACAGTAAATGAACTGTATTTTTGACAGCTCTGCTGTAAAATGTCCAACAATATTCCATTACTGTAAACAGTCAACAGCTGTAATTTGCATTTCTTTGCTGCTCTTGCTGCTTTTTCATTCTTCACAGATGTTACATTGTGCATTTACATCTGTAAATATTTGCTAAGAATAACTAATAATCAATCACTGTTAATGATATATTTACACCCAGACTCACATACTGTTCTCCTGACTTGCTTCTTGTCCATCAGATGGTTTTTATGAAGCATATATGGCTGTATTTTGGATGGCTGGCTGTTACGATCATGGTTCATAATGGTACAGTATTATTTTGAAGCATATTACCTGTTGGATTTTCCAGTTATAGTTACTTGAAGACAGTTTGATAAAGACACATTTACACGTGTCTTTGTTAATCACTTATTCAGTCGTTAATCTTAAGACTTAAAGAAACAGTCTTGCAAATACATAATTTACACAAATTTCCTCTTAGTCCATCAGCCAAGACATGTTTGGTGTCTTCAGTTTGTTTCTTTAATTTTGCACAAGAGCTGCGAGGCTAATATAAGGAACAAGTTTGTTACCCCACAGCATTCTGGGAGAGCATGCAGAAATGTTCACACTTTTTCCTCAAACCACATCGAGTTGTACAACCTCTGTTTCAGATCACTGAACTTGGTTTGGGTTGAGTCAATTGTGCAAATTTTTGCATGCTGTCAATTGGTGAGGTATTGTAGTCAAGACCACTAGAGGCGAGTCCGAGTCAAGACCGAGACCAGATTATGATTTTTTTTTCAGAATATAAAACTAAAAAGAGAAAAGGGGAAGAAACTGAAATTCATTTGTAGTTCATTGTACATTCAATGTGATTCATTATATATAACATATATTATATTTATAAATAATATTAATCACAAATAAGTAATAATCAGTTAAGCTTCATGGAAAGATCAGTTAGATTCTAAACCAGGATTCACCTTAATCTGAGACAGAGAGAAGCCTGCGTCCAAATTATACTGAGACTGAAACAAGACCAACACTATTAATTTATGGTCTTGAGACTCGGCTACTACTACACCCACTTAGCTATTTAGCTACACTAATGTTAGCTACATTAGCCTTGCTGTTCCAGCTCAAAATGAAAAAAAGAAATGTGGACATCAAAGACTTCATTGGCTTCATTGGCTTCCTGAATACATTTGGGGTAAGAAATAATTTGATTATCATTATATATCAATTTTTTGGCTGAACTATTCCTTAAGAGATTCCATAACCTCTATTAATATTATTCTTAAGCTTTGTATGAGCATGACAAACTGGAGTATGAGGGTTCAAAGAATACATCAACTAAAATAATGCAAATAATTCCTCAGACACTGAAACAGTAGATTTGTGTTTCTACAATTACAGGCAATTTTAGGTCCCAGCAGTTGATTTTTTGACATGTTAACATTTATCTTAAGGCAGAGAGGACTGAGTAACACTGCATTTAAAGACTACCTACATAAGGACATCATAACACATGCATAAGCACTGAATAATGTATTTATAAAGCAATACTTGAATATTTATTAGCATCTTATGTCAGCAAATGCAAGATATCATAAGATAAAGTAAATGACATTGTATTGATGTAAAGGTTTTGTACTTCATGTAGAACTATGTAGAACTGATATAACTTCTAAACTATGTTCTTCTAAGTTCCATTACTTGGTAATGATGCTTCATAATATTGTTATAAAAGAAACAAATGTCCATCACTTTAAGGTCCCTTATGTCAATGCAATGTCATTTACTTCAATTCATGTCATCTTGCTTTTACTAGCATAACGCTGTTGTCAAAAGAAAACCTTGTATCGTCACATTTGACAAAATTTGAAAATACCCGTTGCCCTTTACATTGTGTGTAAATTTCATGATGATTGGACCAAAAGAAACGTCCCAAAATGATTTGTAAAAAATTCTGGTTCCATTGACTTCCATTAAAAGTAAACTATGTTTTTTCTGTCTCCTATAAAGTTACCATTTTGGAGATACAAGGTTTTCTTCCAATAACAAAGATAAGCTGGTGATTAATACTCAAATATTATGTCATAAATATGCTATTCAGTGCTTATGCATGTGCTGTGTACCTATGTAGTACCTATGTAGGTCACCTTCAAATAAAGTGTTACAGAGAAGTGTTTAGCAGTGTAAGTTTCACTTTCACATGTAAACTGGTTACTAAATGTACTGAGTTGTAATTTATGACACATATTTTGGGTCAAAATACCAGTTTTATTCATGCCAAACAGATGTGATTTCAATCTTGACAAGCATTAAAATTTGTTACTAAACTACAAAATGACATCTTTTCAATTGTAACTGCACTGTATAAATATTAAATGAATACTGTTATCAGTCATTTTTAAAAATATGTCTATTAATACAACTGTGCCACATTTATATGTTCTTACCATGACACTGAACAAATAACAAAATAACACAGACTTTCAGTTAAAGTATTAGTTACTCAATCAGTACATGGACAGAAGTGTGGAAAATCTAATCTAGGTGTCTCTGGATTTACAGACAAGCAAAGTAAACATCATCTTTCCATCTTCAGTATTTTCTGCATATTCTTACCAAAGATTTTATAACTACTGTGATTTAAAAACTGCCTGCAGTGGCAGAAACACCCAGGTATGGAGATGATTCAGCAGACACTGAAACAATGTCCTGAGAACACTCTAACACAGCTGATCACATGTCAAACAGAAGTCGAGGCCTGGACGTATCATTACCGGACAGACAGCAACATGAACTGGACGTCAGCTCGCCAGTGGTGCCAGCAGCGTTACACAGACATGGTGGCCATCCAGAACAAGGAGGAGATCGCCTACCTGAACAACATGCTGCCCTACCATCCCCAATACTACTGGATCGGCATCAGGAAGGTGAAGGAACAGTGGACCTGGGTGGGGACCAAGAAGCCCCTGACTAAGGAAGCGGCAAACTGGGCAACAGGAGAGCCCAATAATTGGAACAACGACCAGGACTGCGTGGAGATTTACATCAAGAGGAACAAGGATGGGGCCATGTGGAACGACGAGAGGTGCGACAAAGAGAAAAAACCTCTCTGTTATAAAGGTAATGCCTTCAGATTTAAAAAAAAACTCAGCCCTCATTAAATCATATGCATACATACATTACATAATTCTAATATATTTATATATTTCTGACAGATATGTAAATATTAAAAATGGACACCATTACATATATTTAATCGACATACATGTGCATATGTTCTACTTTCACATATATGTGTAACATGTTGGTAAAATGTGAAAAAGAGGCTTTACTAGTTTGTCCAAAATCCACAATGAAAAAAACATAACAAAGATAATTCCAGGCAACCAAAATCCAAAAACGGAAAAGGCAAAAGGGAAAGTTGAAAATATAAACAATGGGTCAGATACACAAAGAGTAGATCAGAAAATAAACAAGAGCGCTCAGTGGCTCTAAAAAAAAAAAGCAATACCTTGCAACTAACCTAGCCTAAAGACCAGGCTCATAAACTAACTGGATCTAGTCACATGATACATAAAACAGGTGAAGAACATCAGTAGTCAGGGGAAGCTGATCTCTGATGGGTGGAACCTGGTGACCTTGATGTCACATGTTCACCTAGAGGGTTCTGGGAATCGTAGTCCTGAGAGTCATGGCTAGAGGGATGTGTGACAATATGTCGATATATTGGCATCTATGTAAAAACTAAAAATGGCACATAGTCTCATCTCAGTGGGGCGTGAACACTTTCACACAAGGAACATTAGGAACATGAATGTTAACCACTATTCAATAACATAAAGCATAACATGAATAACATAAAAACTTGATTGATAACCGAAATTAAATTTCATTGACACTTGTCAACACACGGTACACAATGTGGCACATATATTTTAAATACAAGGGAATATTTATACCTATATTTCTATTTGTTTGGAATTTTGGTGATAAGCCATTACATATATTGACATATATTGCCATACATTTTGAATGTAAAGAAATATATGTGTATACATTTTTCTATATTTGTCATTTTGATACTATGGCATTACATATATTGACATACAGTACTGTGAAAAAGTATTTGCCCCTTCCAAATTTCTTCTATTTCGCATATTTGTCACACTTGAATGTTTCAGTTTATCAAACTACTTTTAATATTAGACAAAGAAAACCCAAGTAAACACAAACTTTAATTTTTTTAAATGATGATTTCATTTATTTATTGTGTGTGTGCAGCGTCCTGTTTAAATACGTCCTGCAGTGAACATGCTGAGTGTGTGGAAACCATCAACAACTACACATGCAACTGTGACCCGGGCTTCACTGGTCCTCGCTGTGAGGAAGGTACAGCAGTGGCTTAAATACTGAATGGGCTAAAATCTACACTGCAAAGGCGGCTTGTTTCTTATTCATTGTTTTTGTGATGTCACAAGAACTAAAATATTTTCACCCACCCACTCACACTTAACTTATAGAGTATTAGTGGTGTTTCAGTCCAGACTGCTTTTTTATTGAGGCAGTGGGAGTGAAAAATACAGCATACAGGCTATTCAATGTAGGACATTTGCAGCATGTGTGAAGAAATAATGGTAACACTTTCTATGAATGTCACCTTTGTAAGCATCTATAAACACATTCATAACATGTTATAATGCATTCATAAGACATTATAAACATAGCTATAAATATTTATAAAAATGCATTATACATTGTAGCCATGTTTATTATGCATTATGAATTGTTAACATAATACATTATAGGTACTGATCATAACAAATTATAAGAGCTCATAAGTTGTATTTGTCTGCTCTAAGTAAAGTGAAGCGTACTGTACTAAAGCCTCCTCCAGTGTTAAGAGTGAGGCTTCAAGTTGAAGTATTTACTGAAGGATTTACTTAAACTCTAAAACCCAATGTGGGAAAGGTAATGTACACCACCGTTAGCTTGGTATTTGTATTTACTTTATTCTCTCCAAGCTGGGACTGACTTCTTTGGCACTCACATTATAACATGTTATTAACACTGTTTATAATGCATTATATTAACAATTCATAATGTATAATAAACATGGCTATAACATGTAATTCAGTGTAATTCTTTTTTATAAATATTTATAACTATATTTATAATGCCTTATGAATACATTATAACATGTTATAAATGTGTTTATAGATGCTTACAAAGGTGACATTCATAGAAAGTATTACCGAAATAATTAGTGCAAACATGATCCTTTACATGTTACTGTGAATTTCTAGTCTGATGCATTGCAGCCCTTGAATCTGTTATGTCAATCTTTCATACATTTCTCTGTGTGGATCCACAGCTGTACAGTGTTCGTCTATCTCTGGAAACTCCAGTGGGTGGAGTCTGAACTGCAGCCATCCCATCTCCACAAACAGCTACAACTCCACCTGCACATTCAGCTGTGAGGAGGGCTTTGAGCTGAGAGGCTCAAACACAACCCAATGTGATCACACTGGACAGTGGACACACAAGACCCCCACCTGCTCAGGTACTAATAAATCTACCACTGCAGATGTTTGCAACAATTGTGCCCTGTAAAGAAAAATAAAGGGGAATTTTACAGATTTTTTTTATTAAATTCTGCATGAATAAATGGTTAAGATGTAAACAGTGTCAGTCAGAGCGGTTTGATGTGAAATACTTCATACTAGAGAAACTTACTGAGAATTATCCACAGTGGTGGTGATAGGAACCAGATGTCTGAAGACTTTAAGGCCTCTAAAATCTCCCTCACAGAAAGTTATTATATGAAATGGTTATGAATTCACTGCCTGATGCCTGAGACATTGCTAATAGTCACCAGAATAGGTATTACGGTAACACTTTCTATGAAAGTGTTACCGTAATAAGCATTTGTAAACACATTTATAACATGTTATACTGTATTCATAAGGCATTATAAACGTGGTTATAAATATTTAGAAAAAAGAACTACACTGAATTACACTTTATAGCCATGTTTATTATTCATTATGAATTGTAAATATAATGCATTATAAATAGTGTTAATAACATGTTATAATGTCAGTGCCAAAGAAGTCAGTCCCAGGTTGGAGAGCGTAAAGTAAAGACAAATACCAAGCTAACGGTGGTGTACATTACCTTTCCCACATTGGGTAAAACACTGATGGCAGCTCTAGTTTAAACTCTGACATTTGAAGCCTGTAATGTGCTTTACTGTGAATGTTTTAGTGTTTCAGTAAATCCTTCAGTAAATATTTCAACTTGAAGCCTCACTCTGAACACTGGAGGAGGCTTTAGTACAGTACGCTTCACTTTACTTAGAGCAGATAAATACAACTTATGAGCTCTTATAATTTGTTATGATCAGTACTTATAATGTATTATGTTAACAATTCATAATGCATAATAAACATGGCTACAACGTATAATGCATTTTTATAAATATTTATAGCTATGTTTATAATGTCTTATGAATGCATTATAACATGTTATGAATATGTTTATAGATGCTTAAAAAAGGTGACATTCATAGAAAGTGTTACCAGTATTATTTCAGATTTACACCAATTTACCATCATCAGCATTACATATAAAACACAGAAGACATGCAGATTCACTGGTGGTTTCAGATTAAATAAAATTTCAATATTTGCATTGTAGATTTTGGAACCTCTGGTTCCTATCACAACCACTTGAAGAAATTTGAGTCAGTAAGTTTCTTAAAATGTCTGCGAATTTTAATGATCTATTATGTTTGTTTTATCATGATAATTACCTCGAGAAATAAGAGAAAAATATAGGATATGGGCTCTTTAATGTGGACGTTTTTGGCATGTCTGAAGAATTAGTTAGTGCAAACACAATCTTTTACATGTTACTGTGAATTTCTACTACTGTGTCTGACACACTGCAGCCCTTTAACCTGTTATGTCCATTTATTACACATTTCTCTGTGTGGATCCACAGCTGTACAGTGTTCGTCTATCTCTGGAAACTCCAGTGGGTGGAGTCTGAACTGCAGCCATCCCATCTCCACAAACAGCTACAACTCCACCTGCACATTCAGCTGTGAGGAGGGCTTTGAGCTGAGAGGCTCAAACACAACCCAATGTGATCACACTGGACAGTGGACACACAAGACCCCCACCTGCACAGGTACTAATACATCTACCACTGCAGATGTTTGCAACAATTGTGCCCTGTAAATAACAATAAAGGGGAATTTTACAGGTTTTTCATTAAATTCTACATAAATAAATGGTTAAGATGTAAACAGTGTCAGTCAGAGCGGCTCGATATGAAATATTTCATTCTAGAGAAACTTACTGAGTCAGAATCATCCACAGTGGTGGTAATAGGAACCAGATGTCTGAAGACTTTAATGCCTCTAAAAGCTCCCTCACAGAAAGTTATTATATGAAATGTTTATGAATTCAATGTCTGATGCCTGAGATTGTTTTAGGTTTTAAAACAGGGTGACAAAATAGTCACCAGAGTAGTTATTATTTCAGATTTACACTATTTTACCACCATCAACATTACATATAAAACACAGAAGACACACGTAGGTTCACTCGTGGTTTTGGATAATAAATAAAATGGCAATATTTTCATCATAGACTGTGGAACCTCTGGTTCCCATCACAACCACTTCAAGAAATTTGAGTAAGTAAGTTTCTCTACAATTAACCATTTATATGGAGCCCTAGAAAGGATAAAGACAAAGACAAAGACATACGTTTTCTATAATGGGTAAAAAATTCTCCTGCCTCTGAAATATTTTTTTTTTCTTAAATTACCATCAAATTATCATGATTATTATCATGATATATATCTTGATAATCTCAAGCTATACAGAGAAAAATTAGGACATATTTCCACTCCACCCTGTAGATAGCTGTGTGTCCAAGAATGTAATTAATTTAATGGACACTGACCGCTATATAGCACTTTATTTTAAACTCATCTCAAATGCAAAGTCTTTAAAGATAAACCTGCGTGTCAAAAAAGATGACACCTGGGAAAATCTGAAGGCGCTAGACCCAGGAAGCGTAGAGCTCAAACAGCAAGATGTCTTCATCGATGCAACTACTTTATGAAATTATCCATTTACATCTGCCACTTTGATTCATATGATGAGTTACAACCATTTAACATGCATCCACCTATAGCCACTAAGTTGTCCAGAAAGCTGTAGCTGCTTCAAAACTTAGATATATTTGTGTAACCCTTCCTCCCAGTCTGTTGCATTTTAAAACGTGTTTCAAATGGTGCTCTGATATAATGCCGTGTCTGTTGGCGAGCACTGAAACAGTTTTTGTATCTGAGACCAAGTTTAAAATGAAGTGCTATGTAGTTGTCAGTGTCCATTAGAATAGTTCCGATCACAGATACACAACTTCCAGCATCCCTGAAAAAAATGGACTGCCTGAGTGGCAAATTAGTGTCATTTACAGGACGGAGTGGGCAATATGCTTCTCTATATAGCTTTAGATAACTTCCTAGAGATAATTATTAAAAAATGATTATTCTGAGAAACTTATCTTGAGATAATTAATTTAAGAAAAAAAAACTTAGTTCATTTTTCAGGGAGAAGGGTTTTTTTTTTTACCCAGTCTGGAAAATCTGTGTCTTTTTTTTACCCATGTCCATCCGGAGGCTCTGTACACATAAAACCACTCTGAATGATTTTGTTTGCATCTCAACCTCTGAATCATGCAAAAATTATAATAATGGTAAAAAATAAATCAGTGGGATTCCCCTTTTAACAAGACAACTAACTGTTAAACAGCTTCCAACTGCAGGTCAATCAAGTGGGAGAATCTGAGACGTCTAAAGGATCTTATAAAAGGGCAGTAGGTTGTAGTAACATTACTCAAGTGGTCATATCTTCCAGGTGTGTCTTGGGGTGAATGTTGTGGAGTGTCTTGAAATGGGTGTGTCCTGTAATGAGAGTGTGTTACATTCTTGCAAGGTTCAGGCAGATATATTTATCAAATATTATCTGGGTGGTGAACTGTTCTCAGCACAGCAGTGAAACTTACATGGTCATGGTGTCAGGCACAAAAACCCTTCACTTGTAGCTCTATCTTGCTGGTGTACAAATAGAGACTAATTCATCTCTTGAAGCACAGTTTTTGAAGCCCACAGAAGAGACACCCCAACCCATGCAATTGGGGTATACCCCCTTGTCCTCTCATGAGCGTGAGGCCCATATGCAGGAGGGCCGGTGCCTCTATTGCAGTCAGGCAGGACATCTGCACCCAGCATGCTCTGAGTTGTCAGGAAATGACCGCACACTTCACAGACAGGGGAACCCGTGTTGGACTTATCCATTCCCCCCGGACCCAGTGGGGTGCTCCTCAATGCTGTCATCTCAAGGGGACAAGACAGTGAGGAGCACCTCAGGACAGGGGCAGCAGGGAACTTCATTGATGCAGCGCTAGCCAGGGCTCCTCTCAACTCAGGGGGGCGGTCTCCCACCAAACCAAACCCCTCACACTGCACATCGGACAGCACACTGAGCAGGTCTCTTTATACCTGATCAGCCCCCCCCCCAGTGTGCAGTTAGTGCTGGGCTTTTCCTTGCTCCAGCTTCACAATCCTCATCTGGAGTGGCAGAACTGGTCCGTCCTTTCGTGGGGTCCCCTGTGCAAAACCTTCTGTTTACAGGTCCTAGTGCTCCAAGATGCAATTTTCCAACCCCCAGATCCGTAATCCTCTGACCTATCTCGAGTACCCTCGGAATACTGGGACCTCCAGGAGGTCTTTAGCAAGAAGAAGGCACAGCTCCTGCCCCTCCATCGGCCTTACGATATTGCCAGCGCCCCCCCCCGCAAACCCAGGGCCAACTAATTTCCCTGTCTGCCCCAGAACATAAGGCCATAGGGGATTACATTCAGGAGTCCTTGGCACCAGGTATCATCTCGCCATCAACCTCCCCAGGGGGAGCTGGTTTCTTCTTTGAAGGGAAGAAAAATGAGGGTCTTCACCCCTGTATTGATTACCAGGGGCTCAATAAGATCACTGCTAAGGACTGATATCTCTTACCTCTCACATCCTCCACCTTTGAGGCACTGCAACAGGCTTCCATCTTCACCAACCTGGACCTGCGCAGTGCCTATAACCTAATCAGGGTTAAGGAGCGGGACAAATGGAAGATGGACTTCATCACCTCGCCTGACAAAAACGTGTGGGTTTATAAATTTGGAAAGCTTTTTCTACCTTTTTTTAGGCAATCCCCTATAAGGGCGCTCCTTTCAGCATTCTTCACCACAGTTTTGGTGGGAAAGCGGTAGAACGGCATCAATAGGGCCTGGGTTCAATTCCTGGACTCATTAGGTGTTCAAGTTCTTTAGTTTAGCTCATTGTTCTGTTGTACATAAGTTTGGCACTTGAGTCCTGTGTCCCTAAAAGCTGTGGTGGCTCACCTGGTAGGCCCTGGAATATAATTCAGACAGCCTGGGTTTACATCCTCTGACTGATGAGCCGTCCCTCGTTACAGTGCAGAGAGCTGACAATTTCTGCAGACACTCCTGTTTTATTCCTTAAAAAAGCAGTCAAGTGTTTACAGCAGTCTGCTATAAACAAAGCCAGCTCTATCTTAAGGCCCTGCTTGTTGTGTGGAATATTAGTTGCTGATGGGTGCAACTTTCACTCACAGTGCCTTCTGGAAAAAAACAGAAAAACTAACAATTCTGACTCTATAAGTCTTTCTAGAATGGAGCATTTCACATTAAACCACTCTGAATGATTTTGTTTACATTTTAATGATCATTATGACCAAACATGAATACAGAAATTTAAAAAAAATCAGTGGAATTCCTCTTTTAGTGAAAGTACAGATACTGCATCAAAAATAATTATTAGGGGAAGTATGGATCCAAAAATATACTTCAATGAAACCTCTAAAGAAATCGACATTTCAACATTCTCAACTTAGCATCTGTTGAACTTCCTCTTCCACATGATTGTCCACAGGCTGTGGATGTCCACAATGTTGATTTCCACTGTTTCAATAAACCTACAAATATATAGCCATAATTCTTCATTCGTAACTGTTTAAGGAAACAGCATAAGAACCAATAAGCAGAAGACAATTAAAGCTGTATCTGCCTTTAAAACCTTTAAAACATTTTTTGAAAGGAAAAGGAAAGGAAAATACTGGCAGTGACTAAAAGCGCATTTTGATTGGATTTAAAACGGTCCTTAGAGAGGGATTTACTGTATTGTCCTTATTTCCCTAGTATAAGTGTCACTACAGCCAGCGGTATGTTGAAAGCATTGAAACACTGTTTTGATGACCAGGCTGCTCTGGATTGGCCTTTTCCTGCAATTGTTGCCAGTGCTGATGGACAGAATGTGACCCCAGCATACTGAACTTAGAGCAGTTACATAAGATGTTTCAGGTGTAGGATTCAGTGTCAGTGTGTGTTCAGAAAGAAAACTTGCATCACAAAGTTGGCATGAAAATGGTCCCTCTTCTTTAGTCTGGAGGATGCAGTGTCCATTGTTTCCAAAACAAATTTCAGATTTTTATTTCTTGGACAACAGAACACTTTTCCACTTCGCCTCAGGCCCAGAGAAGGTGGCAGTGTTTCTGTATCCTGTTTATATATAGTTTCTTCTTTGCATGGTAGAATTTTAAATTGCATTTGTGGATGCAGCAATGAAATGTGTTCATAAACAGTGTTTGTCTTTAGTGTTCCTGAGTGCAGTGATTTCCATGTAGTGATTACAGTATCATGTCTGTTTTTAATGCAGTGCCTTCTGAAGGCCCAAAGATCACGGGCAGCCAGTAGTGGTTTTCAGACTTGTCCCTTGCATACAGAGGTTAGATTCTCTGAATCTTTTAATGATATTATGATGAATTCCCCAAGTTCTTTGCTATTTTACATTGCGAAACGTTATTCTTGAAATGTTGCACTATTTGCCCGTGTAGTCTTTGGCAGAGCGGTGAACACCTCCCCATCTTCTGAAAGACTCAGCCTCTCTGGGATGTTCTTTTTATACCCAATCATGCTACTGATCTGTTGCCAATTGTGATCATAACAATACAGCGTTTTGCTTCGCAAATACTGTAATAATGACAAGAAGAAGAAGCCAAGAGATAAGTGCTTTCCTTCCTTTGCAAGCACTGTAAAAATAGTTCCCATTAAGCAATTATGTAATAATTGTGAGAGGTCTACCTCTCCCATTTGTTTAGAAGTTGTCTTAGCAATCCATGAGACCTAAACTTCATTTACATGAACAAGGACTCGCTGGACACATTTTTGTCTGACACCAAATGCA